GGGCTGTAGCGGACGGTCAAAGTGGTAACTATCTTGGTCTCTGTCAGTTCACTTGTGGCTATAATTACTGTCCTCCAGATCAGTGTAAGTGTATCAGGTATGGAAAAGCTGTGTCGCCTCCAGCCTCGAATGGTCGTGAGGGTTGCCCTGCCTCTGGTCTTGATGATAGTTATAAGGGACTGTGCAGTTATACTTGTAACCATGGATACTGTCCTGATACAGCTTGCCGATATTGCTAAGGATACAGTCTGTACCTACCTATAATAATGCTACTAAAGCCAGTATCTATTTCTGTTATTACATAGATATTTACTTCAAATAGTATATCTATAGGGGTATTGGAGCCATCTCGCAGGACACTTCATCGTCTAGTCATCCAGTAGCAAGGTTACGACTACGATTCTGGAATTCAAGAATCGAATTCTACAACGTTAGACGCTGTAAAGGACTTTCCTATTCTTGATGATATCGATGCGATGATCAGCGCCTTGCATTGCAACAGCCTACGATTGGAAGACGTCCTTCCTTACACTTTAAGAAGTCCTTTACTTCAATAAGGGCCAGCCGAATTCTTCAAAACATGGGAGGAAGCTATAAGACCTTTATTGGAAGAGCTTCTTATCCCATATTACATATCGGTACCATGTTGAATGAGGACGCGAATCAGTATATAGGAAATGCCGGTAGAGGGTGAAGTTGCACAAAAGGACTTTGAAATGACATGCCAACAAGATCATGGGCTCCAGGTTTCTTCCAGCTCTAAGATACATGTACTAGACTAAGCGGATTCTAAGGAACATTGACTTAGTCTCCGTAGTCTTTAATTACAGTATTCTTAAATCCATCCCAAGATGCACGCGATACTTTTACTCTCCACTCGGCGGTTGCAAGACAGCAGACAACGGCTGCGGGATGCCAAACTGCGGCGAGTTATTCGATGTGAATGTAACTTTCTGTGCGAGAGCAAATCTGTCGGTACCGCAGGATCCCTTGGGGTTGCTCGTGGCATGAAAAGCATTCTTGGATAAGATTAGCATATACGAGAAACTTCTTCGAGAGGCACTACTGACCCAGGTTTCGTGTCCATCCGGAGACGTAAAGAAACAGTTATGACCGGTTCCATAGTTGCCATTGGCTTGCGAGAATACAGGACCTTTCTTATCCCATGATGAAGCCTGTAATGGATCGCCACCGTTGTAGTGCAGTAACCCGAGCGAATAGTTGGGCGTTCCGCAGTATGAAGCTGAGTAAGAGAGCCAGATTTGTCCATTGTGATAGAGAGGCTGACACGTTAGTATTCGACAAGCTTTGCGACGATCAGCTCTAACTCACATGAGGCGCCTCGTTGACAGCGGTAATACTGTTCGGATTCGAGTTGGTTGTGTTTTTCTCCCAGGGCTGATCAGGGACAGAAATAACATGCCAACCATCAACGGTCCATTTCGTTGTATCGAGTTTTGTAATAGCGATAGACTGTAGCTCGTCCTTGTTAATAATGCTCAGCACATGATACCTTCCCTTTCCTGGGATCTCAAGATATGTCCCGTCAATGCTGAAGGCAAAATCCGACTTGGGACCACCTTGTGAGCCAGTGGGAGGGACTAAATCTGCCAAGTGCGTGTAGGTGCAGTCGAATGGGGTTGCCTTATTGCATCCTCTGAGAACACGAGTGTGGCAGCTATCGCAACAGGGAAGAGATGAGTCGCAGCTTGAGTAGAACATGTGCCACACGTTATCAATGCGGTGGATTTCTGGAGCCCACATATTGGCATTGCGAGTGGTGTTCTTGTCGGTCCATATCGTCTTCGTTTCTCCATTCAACAGACCTCCCAGTGTCATAGATCGCGTAATCTCTATGTGATCATAGGAAGTGTATGTTCTGGAATCCACGTCAATCTCAAGCTCATGGTTCGTGGCTTAAATGATTCTAAATCATGCCATTGCCCTTGAGGTCTGAGGGTATGACTTACAAATGATAGAAGCCGTTTGCAAAGACGACTGAAGGATCTGGACCTGGTTTACGGATGGGATTATGGAAGGCTTCAACCCTAGCAGCATAAAGGGTGCCCAGGAGGACTCCAAAATTGATGAGGAAATTCATTGTTAAGTTTAAGTGAAGATGATGGTGCTGCTGAGTAGTCTATCAGGAGGCGCTTGAGTATATATACCCCAGGCAATGGCTAGTGTCAACATCTCCCGTTTTTAAGCTTTCTATTAAACGCGATGATCATTAAGCTTTTCGGGGTTTCGGTGCAGTTAAACAACGCTTTGGTGCAGGGATTGGTCTTCTTCTGGCGACCTCGGATCGTCATTTTAGAAGATAAAATTATTTTATTGGAGCGCCAAATGACTGATCCCCCGCAATTGCTCACGCGGGGTTCCCATGGGGACTAGGGTTGAGGTTACGAGCCAGATCGACAAGTACTAAATTACAAATGGAGTTGATTCCCATAATAGCCAAGTTTACCATCTTGGTCTGTTAACCGCACCATTAATATACTATCGTCTATCAGTAGAGGGCCATTTTTAATATGCATTTACGCTCTTGCTAGTGCGCGAAATCTATTGCTTATACGATGAATACAGTCCGCTCTCAGGAAGATGAACGCGAGGCAGATGAACTTTTAGCTCACCAAGACTCTCAATGATAGAAAAATGGTGGGTCACGAGTTCTTAGTTGCTATATCTAGACTTTCCAGCATCTGAGTTAATACAAGACTTAGTAGCTATCTTAAAGCAGCTCTTTAAATATCATAACTATTGCTTTAACTATATAATTAAGGATATAAAATAAATCAGGTCTCATTTTATAATTATATACTATAAGATCCCATTTTGCGCAGTGGAACTCGGCGATAAAACATTGTATCGATCTCCTGATAAGTTCGTCCTTTAAGCTCGGGGATGTAGAACACACAGATAACAGAAGCAAACGCCGAGAGTCCACCAAAGATAAAGCCGACTTTGCCGCCAAGATTCTAAAACAGTTAGATATTGGGTCGTGTAAGGGCAGGGAAAAACTTACACCAGCGTCAGGATTAACCATATATGGAACGGCGAAAAACATGATGATACCAAAGATAGACTGAGTTGCAGTGGCCAAAGCGGTTGTTCGCGCCCTTTGGGATAGGGAAGAAACCTCTCCCAGTAGAACAAATGCTACCGCACCGATTGTGAGGAAATACACAAAAGAGAAGACAACAGTTAAAGAAGACATAGCCCACTTGGCGGCGCCTGTTGGTACTACATCGAGAATCCCGATGAGAAGAAGAATGATTGTGCAGGCAAACATTCCCGTGACAAAGATAGGGCGGCGGCCAAAGCGGTTCACAATAAACCACGAGCAGATATTGCCAGCTACACCACAGGCGGTAACACCAACGCCGAGGTTCAGAGACTTTTGCGTGTCGAGTCCAGCTAATTGGAAAAAGTAGGTAGAGAAGCTGAGGACGAAGATGATACCGACGGCGTGTTGGCAAGCAAAGACACCGATGGAAATAAGTGTACGAACTCTGTCGGTGCCCTTGAATGCCGAGATGTAGGAAGAACTAGCCATGGTGGCCTCCTCTTCGACCGTTTGCTGAATGGCTTGAAGCTTTTCCAGTGCCTCGAATTCAGATCCATACAGATCTTGGAGAACAAGCCTGGCCTCTTCTGTCTTTCCAGCTCGTACAAGGTACCACGGTGACTCTGGAGAGAGAAAGCTGCCGATAAAGAGGAAGACAGAGAAGATCAGCTGCGCCAGGAATGGCCCTCGGAAAGCCCAAACATCGTCTCTGTTACCAAAACCCGAAGTCACCGAGTTCGAAATCAGCTGACCGACGGCAATAGCAAGGTTGACACCAGCAGTAGAGAGACCACGCAAGACAGTCGGGGCGATCTCAGAGCAGGTGATAGGGCCCAGCGTCAAGTAAAAGCCGACTCCAACGCCAAGGATAAGCTTGCTGACTACAAAAGCAGCTCGGGTGGAAGAAAAGGACTCCCCCATGATGCCTCCAGTGACAACAAGGACGCCTAAAGTAAGACTCTTCTTGCGACCCATTCTATCAGAGATGGCGCTGCAAGCAAAGCCTCCAAAGAATTGACCAACAGAAGAGACAATGTTGAAGGCGGTCAACCAGTCCGCGGGGATCACCCAGCCACCATCGAGTTCGTGACTTTATCATGGATTAGAAATGACATTTTTGGAGAGGTGAAATGGTGACTTACCCATAGTACTTGCGAAAGGCTGGAACACCGACCATGGCACCGTTAACCTGGGTATCAAAACCCCCTAGTAAGACAAGTCAGCCTCTTCCAGTGTATCATCACATGAGTAAAAGCTCACAACCCACGGCACACATGCACCAGAAGAAGGACCACCAGATGATCTTGGGGTGCTTTCGAGCGATATCTTTGAAGGTCAGATTGTGTTCATTGGCATTGGCCACCTGGATCTGATCAAGGATATGTTTGTCAGAGACTGCCATGTGCTCAACGGTCGCGTCCTTGTCGCTTAAGGTGCTTTTCTGGTCGAGTACATGGTGATTGGTGGTGGCCATGGCGAGATCGATGTTGTATTGTCGAATTCCAGTCAGTGGAGTAGTTGGCGATGGTGTTGAGAATGATTGAGAGGGAGAAAAAAAGGAAGAGCGATGTGCTCCTTGTGTCTTATATCATTTTCCATCCAGCCGGTGTCTGGCGACTTTGACGCCACGATGTGTTGCTATCTACTTGCAACCCAGGCCATTTCCAAGCCAAGTCTGGGGAAAGGTTGGTCTAATCCGCGGGGTTGCTAGGAAAGTCTTAGACTCATTCCCCATGAGGGGAAGAAGGGCGTAGCTAGGTGAAAAGTGGTATGGCACCATGACTTTTACATGTCGGATTTAGACCCGATACTCCGCTAGTTTCTCGATGTGTTTTTTCTGCTAAATAAAGAGAAGCCATTACTCGATATCAGTCGTGTCTCTTTTAGCATTTTCACCCGACATTCCGCTGCCCTTTTTTTATCTTTTACTCCTATGGCATCTCCATCTCGCCGTCGCATAGACAGTCATCGTGCTTCCATCAGCCGCCCTGGCTCCACGTACGCCAGGAAACGAGCCATCAAAGCATGCCAGGTATGTCGCGCGCGGAGAACAAAATGCGACCAGCAACGGCCGGCCTGTTCATTCTGCGTAAAGGCCGGTGTGGAGTGTGTTTTCGAACCAGACACCAATGTGACATTCGATCAAGCGAGCCTTGCCATCATAGACCGGCTCGACCGACTTGAGCGTAAGATAGACAACCAGTCGAGGCCCCAGCCAGCTTTCCTTGGGACCCAGTATGATGACAGTATTCCTGAGACCAGCGACGACTTATCGCCCGAGCCAAGTGTTACTCACAAACCTCTTTTCCCTACTACGATCGACAAAGTCGTCCAATGGAGTGTCTTCAGAGACGTCCAGTTACCAACCCTTGCATCCCATACACGCCAATCCCCTGGGTCACAGTCAGAATGCAGTAATGCGCAGAGACCATGGGTGGATGAAATTACCGACCGGGTATCATGTGAGCGATGGCTTAGCAGCTTCTTTGCCCATATTCACGTCAAAAACCCAATCTTAGACGAGGGAGAAACACGAAGGCTCGTCTCCAGGTTATGTGCACAGGGACTTGACTGGAGCATCGAATCCGGTCTGGCGCTTCTGGTTTGCGCCAACGGAGCCATTGCCCGCCCACTCGGGGAGTCTCTCCCTATATCACACCCAGACCGACAAATGGCGATTTCTCTCCTCGACGCAGCGCAGAGAAGACTTGGTGGCGGCTTAGGTCCCGAGGGACTGATACATGCCCAGTGCGCCTTTCTATCAGGCGTTCTTCTCATGTCACTGATACGACCTGTCGAGGCGTGGACAACATTTGTACACGGTTTGGCGATTTGCCAGACGCTTCCTTACGTCCGACAAATCGACCATGCTTCGGGCCAGACAAGTCCCCAGGAGACTTCAGAACAGAGTGTCTTGTGGTCGTGCTGGAAGTCTGAACAGGAGCTCAGGTTCGAACTGGGCATGTCTAGCCCTGCTGGAGTAGCTGATGACCCCCCCGAGCTATTTCCCAAGCCTCCTGATGGCTGCGAAGGTGATGTTGAGCGAGCATGGTATTTTTACCTGTCCGAGATAGCTCTCTGGAGAATTGAGGTAAATGCTCGAAGATTAATGGGCCAGCTCCAGCATGGAAGACGGCGGTCGCTTTCAAGCGCTTTGAGAGAGATTGGAAAAGATACATCACATCAACTTGGGGCGTGGCAAGCCTCGCTACCACCGCTCGTCAGTATCGAAGGTGAATCATCTCCTCATGGAGGTGCCGAGGACGATGTGATCCGATTTGTACTGCGCGGGCGCATCACATATATCCGCGAGCTTGTTTCCTGGCCGTTTATGCATGTTGCTCTTAATGAACCAGTAGACCAGGAGTTGGACGAGCATGATACTTCTGCTGCACTGGCTTATCACCACCAAAGGCTGCTAGTTAACGCACCGGGTTACTACCATCGTCACCATGGGACTTGGCTCATGTTGCGAAGCTCAGCAAGAAGCGCATGCATACTGCTTGGGTTTGCACGCTTGCACCCTGGATCTACCTTTTTGCCTTTATGTTGGAAGGATGTAGTCATGGATACCTTGAAAATGATCGAATACTGGAGCCTTGAGGCGGACGGAATGCTTTCGGTATTACAAACAATGAAATGGCTTGTCCAAGTTGTGTAATAACGCTGCTATTACTTGCGGCACGTAATACGTCGAAGTCGATTTTTAAATCAATTTATTTACTCATTATACAAGTTGTGCGCTTCAACATAGCTTACAAACCTTGCGAATTGCTTCCTTGTCCCCAGCGTGTCCAGCAACCTCAATCTCAACGGAACTAACCAACAAGCAGAATTTTCCATTGACCCATCGTTCAATTGGCCGAAAGGATGCTTCAATACAGATTCGTCTCGCCTCCCTCGATTGCAAGTAAACACTCCCGAAACCAAGCAAGACCCGATGCGGAAACTCTGCCATCTTGGGATACCCATACACTTGGGCAACGTGATGGCCGGATCTCAGACCTATGTTTTCCACGTCCAAAGCAACATTGATAATCCTCTGTTCTGTCAAATACACGCATTTGAGGTTCCTGAACCGAAACTGGGTATAGGACAACCCATAGCCGAGTGGAAACGCCGCGTCAACTCCAAGCTTATCGAGCAAAGCTTGGCCGTACCAACGATCATATTTAATACTTGATGCTTCGATGTCAAGCTCTGGGAGGTGACTTTCATCCTTAGGGATAGAAAATGGTAATCTACCTCCAGTATCAACACGTCCAAGCAAGACGTCTGCGAGTGCATGGCCACCCTCTGCCCCAGCGTACCAACTGACCAAGATAGCAGGTGCTTTGCCTTTCCATTCCTCCATTATGACAGCACCGGCGCAAACAAGCACGACGATCGTATGTGAGTTGACAGACGCCACGGCATTGATGACTTGAACGTCTCGAGGTCTTAACCGCAGAGACCGTCGGTCGCCACCAGCACCAACTTCCAGTGCTGATTCTTGTTTTCCTTGGGCTGGATTTCCCTGCACAATCGACAGCATCTCTTCCTCGCCGGGATTACTCGTTGGAGGAAATAGTTCAGACAAGCAAGGGTCGTTCTGGAGAGAAGGCACTACATATTCGCCCTCATCGCCGGCGTCGTAGCCTACGATGACAACAGCAACATCTGCTTGCTTGGCGGCCTCTCGAGCGGCTTCTGGATCGTCATTATCTTCAAGAATGACTTCGGCGCCTGGTATTTCGCTCTTGAGCCCTTGGTAGGGGGTGACGATGGTCGGTGAAAAAACCTGCGAGGATCCCTTGTCCCCGGTGTTGGGCTTGTTTGCCAGACGGCCAACGACAGCTAAGCGAGATAGATTTTTTGTCTTGAGTGGCAGGATCGGATTGCCATTGATATGATCATTCTTAAGAAGCACCATTGATCGTCCTGCAACCTCTCTGGCGAGCTGTCGATGTTCTTCACAGAAGACAACCGACTCATCAGGCGCCTCTTGGACAAGAAGAGAGCCAAATTCGAGCTTCGTGCGCAGAATGTTCATGGCCGCTTTGCCGACATCCACCGAGGATATTCCACCACTCTTCAGTGCATCATTCAGATGCATTGCCCGTTGTTGCGCAAAAGGAGCTTCAATATCCAAGCCGTTCTTAAGAGAAATCGCAGCGTCTCGTAGACCGAAAATGAAATCTGACATGACGAATCCGGCGAAATTCCACTGGTCCCGCAGGATTTCTGTAAGTAATAGCCTGCTTTGCCCAGCCCACTCTCCATTAACCGAGTTGTATGAAGACATGACCGATGCTACGCCGGCTTCGATAACTCTCTTGAAGTGAGCAAGGTATACTTCATGAAGTACGTCTTCGTCCACTTGCACATCAACTCGAAATCGAGCGTTCTCTATCGAGTTCAGAGCAAAATGCTTGACGCATGCCATGATATGATTTTGGACGCCTTGGGTCAGTGCAGTGCCAAATTCACCCAACAAGATCGGGTCTTCTCCGTATGTCTCCTGGATGCGACCCCACGCTGGATGACGCGGGAGATTGATGCATACTCCGGCGAAGAGATTGGCGCCTTGGGCTTTACCTTCAAGTCCAATTGCATTACCGACACGCCGTTCAAGATCGATATCCCAGGTTGCACCGCGCGCCATGGCAATTGGAAAGGCTGTCGACGAGCCCATAACAATTCCCCTGGGCCCATCGGTAAACTTGACTCCCGGAATGTTGAGACGAGGGATCGCGCCCATGACAAATGGTCTGCGGTTATAACGATCGCAGAGTATTTCCCGCAAACCTTCCCAAAAAGGCACGTCTCCATCCAAGAGATGCAAACGCTCGGCGGATGACATTTCTGCCAGCAGGCGGATAGCAACAGCTGAAGAATCTTGGCCTTGTTCGACTTCCTTGACGGCTTTGTCGAAGGTCAGAGGCTGGGAGATCTCATGATCATGAGCCTGGTGTTGATGCGCCTGAATCGTTAGGATCGCGCTCTTCATAGTGATTGATTTGCAAAAAATGATCTAAGGTAGGATGTATGCGGTATGTGTGCGAAATGGTTGAAAAGAGGGTATCGGTTTCTTGAAATGAGAAAGAAATATGACAGTCTGTTGTGCGAAACCACTCTACAGTAGAATAATACGAGAATCACTGGTCATGCCATATTTTGGTCGCGGAGTATCGGGCCATGTCCGATGCCAATCTGGGCGAAGTCCAATGTGCGGAGTGTCGGGTCAAACACCGAAGTCCATCAGCTGATGATGAGCAAGGACAAACGCACAGACACCAGTTACCCCAGACTACCACCTTGCATGAGTGACGCTACTCCGTACGAATTACCCCATCCTGCTCTCTAATATCCTCAATACATTATTTGGCTAAATTCAGAAAGCCACTGGCAGTTGCGCCATTGGTGCGTTTGGGTCATCTTTGATCGTCTTTTCGGATACTTTGTTGGATATGGTATTGGTGCCTGAAGTTGTATTTCGTTGAAAGGTATTCATTGTGCTCAATCTTGAGTATATAAGACTTCTGTCGTTCTTTACCTTTCATCTCATGAACTAATTCTTTACCCCAGATACCAAACAACAACAAAGCTCTCCTCCATTTCCTTTTATCAAACATGATGAGATCTCTTCTTCTTGGCTTTGCCTGCTTGGCCACCACTTATGGTGCGGCAGTTGGAAAACGTGCCCCTACTCCTTTCTCCAACTTCACCAAGAACGAATTCTTCAAGCCTGCGGCTGATGCTCAGCTCTGGGGTACACTCTATGCCCGGTCACTCCAGTTGCCTGACGAGTCCCTGCTTATGACCTGGGAAAATTACCCAGCTGAGTCCAAAGAATACCCTGTCAATCGTATGTCTTTTGAAACACGTGTTGTTATATGCTGCGGAGGTTAACACTTTGATTAGACCCGATCTACAAGTCGGTCGATGGGGGTGCAACTTGGTCCAATTTTAGTGCCGTCAAAGACACGCAAAACGGTTGGGGCATGCGCTTCCAGCCATTCCTGTACACACTCCCCACCGATTTCGGTGGTTATGCCAAAGGCACTATACTCGCCGCTGGTGTATCGACCCCTGAAAGCCTAGAAGGCGGTGTTTACATTGATGTTTATGCCAGCAAAGACAGCGCAAAGACTTGGGAATTTGTGTCTCATATTGCATATGGCGATGGACCAAACACAATTCAAAATGGTAATAAAGCGCTATGGGAGCCCTTCTTCTTGATGTATGGCGGAAAGCTGGTCTGTTATTACTCTGACCAGCGTGACCCGAACCATGCGCAGAAGCTCGTTCATACCACCACTACCGACCTCAAGAACTGGTCAGACATTGTCGACGATGAGGCTGAGAGTAACTATGACGCTCGCCCTGGTATGACCACTGTGGCTCACATCGAGAGTACTGATAAGTGGATCATGACTTGGGAACGCTGCGGCGTGGATTCCTGCAGAATCTATTACAAAATCTCCGATAGCCCTCTTACATTTGGGCCTATTCCCGGTACCAGGCTCCAAGCCACCGACGGTAGTTTGTTCACCAGTGGACCATACGTGACTTGGGTTCGTAACCCTTACACCAACGACGGCTCTGGTATCATTATCATCAGCACCACTTCTTCCGAGAACCTTCTGATTCAAGGTGATAATCCAGCTGAAGGAAAGTGGAAGAAGGTCGACATCAACCACTGGTCTGCCTACTCTCGGAGTGTCAGAGAGATTACTATCAAGGGAACTAAGCGACTGCTACTCGGGAACGGTGGCAACTTTGGAGACAAGAAGTATAATGGGATTGCTGATGCTGTGGTTCCTATCCCAAAGCTCTGAACTCACGGAGCGGCGTGTTAACATCCGCAGAAGCTGAACAGGATTACGGAGATGAGATGAAGGGTATTGAATAGCATTACTCTTGAATTTAAATCTTGATTCAGTGCAGAACCATAAGCAACAAGGGTTTATCCAAAGTCTTGTCCTTTGGTAAGTCTTCATGGCTATCGCTACTTGGAGAGTGGGTGAAGAATTTGTATGCGGAGAGTTTCGCGATGATGAGCCCAGCAGGAACATCCATTTACTGCCCTTTGCCTGCATCTCGATGGGAATAGAAGCGAAAGTCGTATAACTGAGGGTTTAGTTAATGTCGCTATACGTATCTGCTGGCTACCTAGACAGAATGAATCCACAAATGATGCTGCTGTCGACTAGCGCAGTCGTTCAAATGTTACTGGTAATGTATGTGTTCTAGTAAGCTGTAAATAAGCCATCCTTCACAATCGCTGCTGACCCCTGTGACTCATGACACTAGCAGGCAGCTACTACACAATGTTGATTGGTTCCAGAGCAGATAATAGGCTGACTGTCAGATTCCATTACAGCGCAATTGGTTATCAGGGGATTTCAAAGTGGGGTTGAATCTCTTGTAAGATTTTAGCAACGCAGTCTCTAAAAGCTTTAGCTATTTACAATTATCATGGAGAAATAGCATTCTTGAGTATCGCCCACCTGTTTTCCCTCTATACCATTACTTTCCTAAAGCCAAAACAGGAGGATGATTCCCTATCCCAAGTCGGTAACTAATGGCAATGCCACAACTGAGGTCGCAGGCCTTCAAACAACTAACTCAATCGACTCATCGCTCTCGGACGAAGAGTATATCCTTGATGTTGGCTATCAACAAGATGGAGCTGTTTCCATACGCGGGGGCTCGCCTAGCGGGATATTCTATGGTCTACAGACATTCAAACAGCTTTTACCTCCCTCGTCTCTTCGGCATACAAAGAGCGCCGGGGAAGGTTTGTGGGCACTTTCGACGCAAACTATTCATGATACCCCGCGCTTTGCTTGGCGAGGGGTCATGCTCGATGTCGCTCGCCACTTCATGCCTTTGCCTGATCTACTGCGTTTTATCGATCTTTTGGCGTTTCATAAACTCAACGTGCTACATCTGCATCTCACTGATGATCAAGGATGGAGATTGCCTGTTGCCAAATGGCCCGAGTTAACCACTGTAGCATGTTGGAGAAAGAGAACCATGCAAGGCGCTCCGCCACATGGCAAGCTAGATTCACGCCCACATGGTGGGTACTACTCCAGGGAGGACCTTGAGGAACTTGTCGCTTTTGCCACCGAGAGACATATAAGGGTCGTGCCCGAGATTGATATGCCGGGGCATATGCAAGCAGCTGTTGCAGCCTATCCTGAACTAGGAAATGGCGCACAGGTTGTTGTGATGGAGGAATGGGGTATTTCCAAACATGTGCTTAACATGTCAGATAAAGCTTTGGAATTTTGCAAAGATGTACTGGATACAGTTTGCGACATATTCCCCGGCGAATTCATTGGCATTGGCGGTGACGAGTGTCCTCACGATGAGTGGAAGGCCAATCCGGATATCCAAAGCAAGATGAAGCAATTGGGATTAGCAGACGAAGCGGGTTTACATGAGTGGTTTATTGGACAGATGGCGGCGCATTTGCACGTCCATGGTCGTCGTCCGTACGGTTGGGATGAACTGATGGGATGTGGAGACAAAGTTCCCAAAGATGTGCTCATCGCAGCCTGGCGAGGGATTGAACCGACAGAGATTGCAGCCAAAAGTGGGTTCGAAGTTATTGCGTGCCCAGACATCAAATGTTATTTGGATTATCGGCAGTCAGAGGACAAAAACGAGCCGACGCCAGTGGGAGTTGTGCTGTCACTCGAAGACATCTACAACTTCGATCCTGTACCAGAGGGATTGACACAGGATGAGAAGAAGAAAGTGATGGGAACTCAGGTCAACGTCTGGACTGAGCACATGGAGAGTGCGTCTCGTGTTAACTATATGGTTTTCCCTCGTTTGTGTGCATTTGCAGAGGTTGCCTGGGGCAAGGCAGACAACCATTCGGATATTGGTGACTTCAAAGTCCGACTGGAACAGCATCTCCCAAGGCTGGAAGCGCTTGGTATCAATTATCGACAATTGAGTGGCCCTAGGCCATGGAATGCTCGCCCTGATGCACCAGGTAAGCCGCGGAGTATGCAGCACCGGGTAGAAAAGCAGCCAAGATTTATTGCAGATTTGCTACAGTAATACTATCTTCGTTGAGAGAGCTTGGCGGGGAAAGAACTCTCGTCCAGTTAGAACCAGGCAAGAGTCTGTTGGGCTACAGTAGCTTGATTAGCTCGTCTTTTGATCCACGTAGACCATCCCGGTAAGATTGCGGGCGGTAATTCGCTAACTCCTCCAATCTCTGTTAGTTGTCTTATAGAATTCATTGTCCAGGGTCTAATGATATCAAGATAAGAACAAAAATGGTCTACGCGTCATAATTGAGAAAATAGGCTGTTTAATAGATGGAGAAATCTCGAGCTGCTTGGTTCCACATCACATTCAGTTGTTTTTAAATTAGGCCTAAGCGGTATTCAATAGCGTTGAGGCTTTTCGCGCTAAACCTTCACCTATAAGAAACTACCAGACACTATTGGTTTTAGAACGGTCTCGCCAAATTGGTTCCTTGAGATAAAGGAGCAAATAAGCATAAAGGGTTCTAATTCCCCTTTATTAGTACTTCTTCCCCTTTGAATTTTTGGATTTGATTTCGATTTAATTCTTCCGCTCTTTAACGGCAGTTATGCATCTGGCACTTCTCTTGTCCCTGGCCTTGGGGCTTGAGTCTGTAGTCGCTGGTCCTTGCAAGCCAAACTCTTTCAGTAAGTTCGTTTATAAAACTGCTTGGTCAAGTTACTAATAACTTAAATTAGCTACCATAACTACTGCTACCACCACAGAAAGTCTGGGACTATCCTCAACATTGTCGACAGATGCAACGAAAGCAACCGAGCAGTCAGACTCAACGACAACAACCATTTCCGACTCCACTTTCTCTTCGACCTTTAGCTCTTCAGCGCCATCATCGGTATCAACCGAGCAGACTGAGTTGACAGCAACAACGACGATCGCGGTCTCGGAATCCACTTCTGTAACTGATCTTGGGTCTACGACTTCGGTCGCATCGTCTGATATTTCTGTAACAACATCAACTGAGGTCACCAGTACATCGGTACTTGATTCATTTATTTCGACATCTGTTCTTTCGACGTCGGATGAATTGACATCATCGGCCGATGCTTCGGTCACAACATCAGCTCCCGCTTCAACAAGCACAACCATAGAGTCTGCTGGGACTACAGAGTCTACCACGACAGAAGAGTCTACCAACGACTCCACGATTTCTTCAACACAGATCTCTACTGATACAACACTGGAGGCAACAACGACTACAACCACCGAAGCACCAACCTCCACCACAATTGTTGACGAAATCTCTACAACAACCACTCTCCTGCCTATTCCGACTTTGTTCACGTTGTCTGCTCAAGGTGGCCCAGCAGATGGCTTGGTTATACATGGAAATGGTCTACCAGAGTACTCTGTGTGGATAGGTGCTTTCTTGACTTGGCCAACTGGCCTGTTTAAATACGAAGAGGGTACCGGTCACGTATCAGTTGATGGGAACCTTCTATGCGCTTTATCCTACCAGGGAAACTTCGACTTTGTTTCAGTCATAGTCTGTCCCACGACTTTACTGTTCTACCACGCGCCCTTGGTCTGTGATCGACCGACTGACGGCAGCCTCAAGTGTAGCGTGGCTGTGAAGCTTTACAGCTGTGTCACAGGCAACGGCGGAACTCGTACTTGCACGACTACAGATGCTTCTTGGAGTAACATGTATTCTTCTGCGCCTCTATACGCGTCGAGCGGAACTTATTATCAGCTCAGGTTTGCCGCTGCTGACTGGGCCCATGATAGTCAGGTATCCCCAATTGGTCTAACGGTCTCGCCTTGGTAAATATAGGATACCTTTACCCTTGGTTACTGGCTGTTGGCAGGATATAACAGCCTAGGAGAAGGATAACAGTTTGAGGCTTGGAGAAATTTCCCATCTTTATAAACAAGGACGACGGAACAGACATCTAGCCATATCAATACGCATTATTTAGATGACGCAAAGGATCTTCTTGGGTCGGCAAAACCAAAACAGAATTAATTATAATACTTCTTACTTATAAATCTCTCGTTCAGTTGTCGCACGGCATTCTTTTGCTTGACGTCTCTTAAGCCTCACAAACAATTCTGACTGCTTCCAAAACCAGGCGGCATGTATATGCCACTCTGACTGCTCTGAAGCCCACTCAATATCGAAATGACGAAAGAACTGTGGGATTAGCTTGCCCATCTCCATGAGGGATATATTTTTACCGATGCAAGTTCGAGAACCGTGTCCAAACTGCGAAGGGAAGACTTGAAGTTAGTTGCTATTCCTCAATACGTGAGATTACGTACCGCGATAAAGGTGCGATCCATGAGACTCAGCTGCTCGGGGGAAGCCTCCAGCCATCTTTCAGGTCGAAATATCTGGGCGTCGTTACCAAAAACGTCCTTGTTCATATGCATCAATGGCGCCGGAGTGCTGATATTAGTGCCGGCTGGAAGATTGTAGCCACAGATTTCTGCACCTTCTTCAGGTACATATCTCTCCAAAGGGAATCCTACGGCAGGATGCATCCGCATAGCCTCTTTCAATGTAGCTTGACTATTGAGTTTGTCAGTATTCGCTGGGGCAATGGGGATTCAACTGGTTGGCTAACAAGTATGGCAGTTCCAACGACTCTTGATATGTCACATACTCAGAGAGTTGGCCGGCCTGATCAGCGTCGTCAATTTCTCTCTGTAGTTTCTCATAGACCCGTGGAGTTCTGATGACGAAATAAACTACAGCACGCAGGGAGATACCTGTGGTATCACTCCCCGCGAGACTGTATCAAGATTAGCATCAGGAATAGAACAATTGCATCGCATCAGTACGCACAGATTGTTTGAAAGATGATTTATCATATCTCTGTGTGTTATTTTGCCGGTCTTGTCCTGCTTTTCTCGTAGCTGAGATAGAAAGTCTGTCCTAGAAGATTCTTTTGGACTGCGATCATATTTATCTAGTTCTTTCTCGGTAACCTTAAAAAGCACGGATGTCAGCACCAAACCGGGAGAAACAGCCCGGAGAAGAAAAGGATGACCATACTTTCAAGAACTTATCCATTGTGTCAGGCCAATAGCTTTCCCTGATCCAGGAATTGGCATACAATCTGTCGAACAGTGCAACCAAGCATTCGGACTGCCCAATGTTCTTGACTAATTCGAGGCCGTGGTTGATCTTGTTGATCATCTCGTCAACATCATGCCTTCTCTCTAAGAAGCCGAATCGCCGTTGAAATGTGATGCTACCGATAACATCAAAGGCATACCACTGTAGCCAATGTGCCAGGTCTAACCTCTGCCCTTCAAGATCGCGCATCGCATCTAGGAAGATGGCGCTACATTCATCGGCATACACCTCGAAATTCCGCATATTTGTCATGGAGAATATCTGCGCCACTGAGCTTTTTAACGCCTTATGTATTTTAGGGTTCCGTTCCGTGAACATGCTGTCCATTCGCCGTCCTTGGTAAATCAAGGACATTGTTGTGTAAAAGGGGGTCTCGATCTATATCAGTGGTTTGTTCAATGATAGAAAGGCAGCATCTACCTTTTGAAAGTTCTTTCCTATGCCGTATACAACGGGTATCATAGCGGGATCTGAGGTCGAGACATGATTCGGTCCTGTGCGCACAATAGGGCCATACTTTTCGTGTAATAGTTGATACTGCCGAGGGGAATCGCCTTTATAAACGAGACTTAGCCGATACAGGGTCGTGTATCTAGCGAGCCATGGCCCAGGGATATGTCGGAGGCCAGCTCGAAATGTCAACCTGATGAGTTGAAAGAGAGCGAGACCAGTTAGCAGTGCTCCGTAGAGTACCCATTTTGAGCACGTCATGCTGAATGAAACTGAGTACGCTGTAATCTTCTGGAACTCGTGTGGTGCCTATCAGTTAGTGCAGCAGCAGCTTCAGTTTTGTAAGTGTTAAGCCGGACAGAAGCGGGCTCCGATTGTGGGGCAGTTACTCCGATCGGAGGAGTTCAGCAAAGGACGGGGAAATCCCCCATGTTCTCTTTACCCTGAATCACATGTTACCGTCATCCCGAGGGGAAATGCAACAGCTCCTGAGAAGTAACGACTAAGTGCAATCAGATACAGACAAGCCTCATTCTGAGGATTGCTACTATGGCAATTTGGCAAGTATCTTAGGGATGAGTTTGGCAAAGTTAAAATACATACACGTCATCGTTTCGACGCTATCCGGGTCTATCTATAAAGTGGCACTACGCTATACAATCACAGATCTTGAAAGCTATAACTCAAGATCGTTGGAAAGTCCTTGGCGGCAGAGGTTTGTTTTACTTCGGAAGATCTATGACTCTACGGAGGATCTCCATGACGCTAACTTTCATATCTCCATCAATGATCTCTAGTGCTACTACCCCGCAGAATCAGCACTGGGTCAATGGTATTCAATAGCCCTCGAGAATACTTTGGTCTGCTGCGGGGTGCTAGCTCAGAACTTAGCACCGGAGCAACAGGTTAGGCCTCTTCGGAGTAATAGTGGGAGACACAACCCCTCAGCACGAAGCTGAGGCTTCTTGTGAATCATCAAAGTGTCGGAGCAACTAGAATACTGCACAGAAACTCATGAGCTTCAGTCGCGCAGGTAGATATATACTAGCTTAACTTGTGTTTTATATTTAAAAGGATGTGGCTGTAGCTCTCTTGTGTTTAATCAAGTTTGGGTATTATTTAGGACTCCAATCTAAATGAAGTTATTCCTTGCCCAATACAGCCTGAAAGCCACTCGCTCTGTTCTTTCGGCGGTGTTGAACGTCTCTAAGCAAGCGAGTGGTGTCTTTGAATTCCTGTTGCGCCAGTGCCCTGATCCTGGAAGCACGTCACCTATGTTGTTTCACTACCTGCCAGACGCTGCTCTGACTTCTTTATGCCGGGCACTGGCACTCAGCTCGGCGTTTGCCACCGCCCTCGCCTCTACCCAGCTAGATACCCATCTTCATGTATTGCCTCCTGTCTTTGCCGCCGCGATCGATGCCGCTGGCGGCGATCCTACAGGCTACACAATCCCCATTGGACTCTTGAGGGCATGATTTCATCAATGGGTCGGACACGCACAGACATTGGTACATTATTGGCAACGATTATACATTATAAGAAAACAGACTCTAACTAAACGTCACGATTACAGGCATCATGTCGGTCTCGGCACCCGGAGTCCAGATTGCCGGCACTGGTCAAGCTGCCCGTGACCTCGCAAGGACGTGCAATAAGTACCTGGTCACGACCGCAACCAAGTCCGCATATGGCAAACGACTGGGGTTCTTCGGTGTCTTGCCGGATTGGCGCGATGTAAATGGTACATTGGCTGAGATAGACTTTCTGTACTTGACGCAAAAGTTGTGTGACGGTGTGACGGTGTGACGGTGTTTACTACCTACGGAGATATGCTTCTCAGCAACCCACTCTTCCTCCCAATTTGGCAAAAGCTTCAGGACTACAAAGCGCTCATATTCATTCATCCGGATAGCTCATGGGTAGGCCCCAAGTTCATCGCTGGCGGCCTGCCCCAGCCGATTGTCGATTTCCCGCTCGCCACTACCCGGACGGCGGTAGACTTGATCATGACCAAGACGCTGCCCAAGTTCCCGGATACTGACATAACACTATCCCACGCAGGCGGCAGACTTTCTTTTATTGCTAATAGATCATTAGGTAGTCTTTCCGTACCAGATATTAACCAGATTATCGGGTATAGCATGGCTGATGCTAAGGCTGACCTTGGTCGTTTTTACTTCGACGTTGCCTTGAGCACTAGTGCTGCCCAACTGCATGGACTTCTGGATGCAGTAGATGCAGACCACATCCCATTTGGGTCCGACTACCCTTATGCTCCAGCCTTTGCCATTGACGCTTTGCTGCTGCAGTATGCACAATTCGTGGCCATGGATAAGAGAGGGCCTCTAATTCGTCCAGAAAAGCTTCGCGCGAATTCCTTATCTCTTCTTAACAAGCATGCCTTTAAGAGGGCCTTTAAGTGATTCTATAAAGCCTCCTTAGGCCACAATTTACTATATGTATGTATAATGTTGCCACTAGAACGCGTCCAGGGCGACTATAAGACAGTTAAAAACAATGACTTGTATTGAATCTTAAAGATAACTAGTTATTTAAATAGGCTATAAGATAATAGGAAAAACAGGAGGTTCTAAATTAAATTCAAAAACCAGCATTTAGGTCTTATACAATTAAGGGAATTTCTTTCCATAGTCTAATTAATATTCTTAATACCGCTATATCCCATGTTTGTTATTTGCACTCTGGATGTGATGGCGAAGAAAAGTAATTGAGAAGCTAAGACAAATTAGGAAGCATTCTGCGGGACGGGACCACCACTGCGAGAGATGATCGGCGCACGCGTAGCCGAGTAGATATCTGACTGAGGGGCCAAGTCTAGTAACAACTTCATCCCATCGCCATACCAGTTTTCTACCAAAATTGAGTCATGGTCGGAGTTCCAGGCCGTTCAAAAGCTTGCCATACCTGCAAGAGTCGTAAGCTTGGAGTAAGGTCTTACTTCTGTCAGTCAAGTATCTGTCTGCTGATTTGCTCCAAGTGTGATCAACTTCGCCCGTGGTGTCGCCGATGCACCCGGGCTGGTCTGAGCTGTGGAGGGTATGATAGGCTTCCCATCTTCGTCAACAGTACCCAAGATGGAAACAGCGCTCTATCGGCTAGATCATATTCGCCACGTCATGCCTCAGACCAGACTGCGGTATCAACGCCTTTGCTTGACCTATCGCTTGAGCGCACGGCAGCAGAGTCCAAGTATCTGTTCCTCTACTGGCGCTTCCTACTCCCCAATAATGGACAGCTGTTCCCCCTGCAGGCCACTAGGCATTCGACTACAGGGTGGATACAGATCGTGCAATACTTGGCCCAAAACGATGCGGGCGTTCGTACTGGGCTTCTCGCCAATGCATTGGCATTGGTTGGGCAGAAAACGGAACAGTTTTCCGTCGTTATGGAGGCATGTAATATGTACACCAAAGCGCTGCAGACCCTCGCTCAATCTTTACGCCATATCAAACCAGAAGAGACGACAGAGGACCCTAGGCTGATGACATCGGCGCTTCTGGCTGCATTTGAGGTATTGTTAATTTGTGTGATGTTGTCTTCCTATGATGGCTGACACATGTAGCTACTTCAAGTGTCTGACGGCCGTCAGTCTTGGCTCCATGGGATGACCTGGCTTCGTCACTCGGCAGGGCAAAAGGCCATTATCCTTGCCAGAGGCCCAGAGGGTTACAAAGAAGGCTTGGCTCACCAACTATTTGCAGACGGTCGCCTACATCTAGTACGAAATATCCTGTTCTTATTTCAACGACAAACACTAAGATTCGTCTCTAGATATACCCAAACATTCACGAACGTAAACGGTCGGTATTTAATACCCCAGAGTGGAAGTCCATACCATGGTCCACGCTGCCAAAGAATCCAAAGGACGAGTTGGTGGACATACTTCTGGAGATTCCAGGTCTGCTGGAAGATCTTGAGCGTAAGCCTGCACATGAGACGCAGCAGGGGTCATTGTATGCGCAACTGCAGGAAAGATGCCGTATTTGCGATGAAAGTCTACGCAACTGGTCCACTTCTTCCGGCCAAGCTAGTGTCAGTTTCGCTGAAGGGTTAATATCCACCCCTACAACCCAGGTCTCCTCTCTGTCCCCAGAAAACTTCGCCATGGCTCATTTGGGTATGATCTACTGGGCGACTTGCAGCCTTCTGCACCGAGTTATGGGTGACGACACTAATGCTGGGCTTTACTGCCGTAAAATCTTGCTCATGGTCCCCTTCTTCCAGAGGCCCGATATGGGTGCCATCTTCATCAACTTTGTGGGGTTTCCAGTTAGCGTTGTCGTAAGCTTTATCGCACGACAAGAGAATCATGCTGCCTTTGAGGCGCTGAAAGAATTACTCTACAAGATATTTATGGACCCAAATCGTGGCAGCCAGCTACGGGCATTTTTTGAGACGTGGCCATGGCAGAGCACTAATGAGACACGAGTGGTCATGAATAAAGCGAAAGCAAGGACTAAATAACTTATGTACGCGCGATCCTATACTCTTCAGGCTTCGTGCGCATGTTCATATCTTGTCTACTCTACATCCACACTTGCAATTGCCACGCCATTGCTGCTTTGCACAAGATCTGTGGCAGATCTGCCGTTTCGAGCTACTTCTATCTCTTCAGATGTTGGTAGATTAACAATCATCAAATAGAGAATGTTCTAGATCCGTGTCAGCTAAATCTCTGTCAAAAACTTCGCATCGGGCGACATACGCGACTAATGCGACGCTGTCCGTTCTCCAACAGCTCAGACTGGTGCTGGAACTGTTGTATTTGTAGCTCGTATGCGCTTTCATACTGCTGGATGTAGGCTTCCTTTTCTTCGGCAGTGAGATCCATGCCTCGTAGTACAGAGATGAGGTTTTCCATCTGAGAAGATTGTTGGTCTCGGATAAGCTGCTCTTGGTTGGCCATGGCAGAGCGCATACTTTCTTTTTGCTTTTCAATATTGGGTGTCAGCTTACCCCCAGATAAGAGGCCAAGTAAGCCACCGTTAGAGGCAGGATGGTTTGGGTCCAGATAGCGATTTGAGAAGGGCTTTCGTGGAACCGAGGAGAGTACATCTCCATTACTTTCAGATGCCTTCGTAAGTCTTGGAGTCAGCTAATGAGACTCAAGGGCTACGTGGAAGGGAGGTACTACTTACGTAGCGCGCCTGAGCGCGTTGATCAAAGTAGTCGTTCAGCTTGGCAAACACCGTTTTCTTCTTGTCAGTGTCCGGAGTGGTTCTCTCGATAGTTGGATAGATTAGAGTCGCAACGCAGTCGGGTAGATCCTCTTCACCATGGGAGACGCCAGCCAAAGGATTTCGCAGGTTCCTTTTGGCTTTGGATGATGTTGCGGACGTCGACTCAAGTTTCAGCATAGCTTGCGCTGGATCAACTCTTTCTTTGTTGATGGTGGAGATCGGACTGTAAGACATGAGAAGGCAATACAGTCCCCGCGGCTGGAAGAAATTGACGTTCGCTCGATCCATGAAAGAGTTCGTTCTATTTATAGATCAGCCATAAGAACGAGAAAGCAAACAGCAGACTTACTTCCATCGAGTCTCTGTCTTGGCGATAACCCCAGCGACGATCTGCACGGCAGCGGAAACACCTAGGGCGATGTGATTGGGAATGAACCCGGTGCCCATGGCAGCGACCTGAATGGCATGGAGCCATTTGGACGCTTGTACGGCTTTGTTGATAGCTTGTATGAAGGCGATGAATGTTTCTTGATCGATACCAAATGCCTGAAGATCGGGCGCGTATGCCTCTACAAACCCGCGTTCTTTGTTTCCGGGGCGTCTCTGGGGGATGACAACTGGACTACTTAACCGAAGTGGCAATGGATTGACACCCAAACCCGGATGGTCCATTAAGAAGCTGTCCAAAGTCGAGCCTGCATTTTGCTCCATCTCTCTGGTCCTGTCCTCAGAACGGCCGTTGTAGGACAAGGGATTGTTATTCGAAGTCATAATGGTTTCGTGATATAGTTATTGGAATGCAGGCTGTCTTTTTTGACATCAACTTGAGGGAGGGATCCTTTAAATACTTTTTCCAAGCCAGTCCGGTGCCCATTGGCGTTAAACACTGTTGTTAGGAAGGATTAACAGTACGTAGTGGCGGGCCCGTTTTACGCAATTGAAGGCCTACGCCTACGGCGAGGGGTACAGACAGCGTTCTGACATGCTGTGCTCAGGCACCGCATACCCAAAAAACGGATAATGTAATAATTTTCTAGCTTCAATCTGACTCCAAATAAAACAATATATATATTACTTCACATCCAATTAAGTACTTAAATTATAAGGCATTAATTATTAATAGGCATCTACTAGCTATAAGTGTTAACTGTACTTAGTACATGAACTGTTTTATTCTCTATAAAATATCTACTTTAGTTCAAATTGCTTTTTGCCCTCTACACTCAGACCCAAGTCAACAACTTCCTTATCCTCGCTCACGACCGTTCTCAAGTCTCCAAAGGGAAGGATGACAACCAGTGACTTCCAGGGAGCTTGGAAGCCAGAGCTTTCATCCTTGGAGAACTTGACCTTGATCACCGACTCGGTAGCCGAGTAAGCAATGGTGTATGAAGAGATCTTGTTCTTGGTTGACACAGAGGTACCATCATCTTCATACCACGTAGTCTCGTGCCACTTGCCATCGCCAGACGCCTTCTGAGGAGGGAAAATCTCCACGCCGCGGTAGTCATCGAGAGGGAGATTTGCCACGTTCTCCTTCTCACCAGGAGAGAGAACCTGGACATCTCGGCCAACAGCAACGGCACGGCCAACCTTGCCGAGAACGGGAATACCAGCACCATGCCACTCAACGTCCAGGTCAACCCACTGCCCAGCCTCAAGATACTGGTATGGTGCATTCAGGTTCAGATATCCCTCATCATCGTCTGAAGCCTTGGGAAGGTAGAACTTGACCTTGCTTGCTCCAGCCTCGAAGACACCGCCAACGAGCATGGAGTCACCGAGCCAGTACTGTTTCTCTCCATCAAGCAGCTTCCAGACTTCAGGGTCGGACTCGTAGCCCCAACCGATCCATCTCTGAGGAGGAGAAGCAGTCTGGTGACTCTCAAGAGACAGAGAGTAGATGTAAGGAATCAATGCGTAGCGACGCTTGATAGTCTTGCGGACAAGATGTGTGATCGATGGGTGCATCCAAGGCTCAATGACATCGCCGATCGAGTTGTCTTCGCCTGTCTTGAAGCAGTTGATTGCGAATCGAGGAGAGTAGATACCGAGTTGGACCCATCGAAGAAGAAGCTCGGGGTCAGGCTGAGGACCCTCGAAGCCACCAATATCATGTCCGTAGCATTGCATGAGGGAGAGGCCAGCGTTGAGACCTAGGGCAGTCGAGCCTCTCATACTATCCCAGCTAGTAGTGTTATCACCACTCCAAGAGCTGCAGG